CCACCTGGCTGGCTGTGGATGCTGAGATCTGGTACCCTCCTGGCTGGCTGTGGATGCTGAGAGCTGGTACCCACCTGGCTGGCTGTGGATGCTGAGAGCTGGTACCCACCTGGCTGGCTGTGGATGCTGAGAGCTGGTACCCACCTGGCTGGCTGTGGATGCTGAGAGCTGGTACCCACCTGGCTGGCTGTGGATGCTGAGAGCTGGTACCCACCTGGCTGGCTGTGGATGCTGAGAGCTGGTACCCACCGGGCTGGCTGTGGATGCTGAGAGCTGGTGCCCACCGGGCTGGCTGTGGATGCTGAGAGCTGAGACCTGGATACTAGGACTTGCAGTAAAGGAGCTGGATTTTAAGACTTGGCGTGAGGGAGCTGGATACTAAGACTTGGAGTGAGGGAGCTGGATACTAAGACGTGGAGTGAGGGAGTTGGATACTGGGACTTGGAGTGTTAAACTGGATACTGGGATTTGGAGTGTTAAACTGGATACTGGGACTTGGAGTGAGGGAATTGGATACTGGGACTTGGCGTGTGGAGAGGTGGTGTGGATCTGCGTTTCACCCACTGGATCTCCCTATTAGAGCACTGGATCTCCCTATTAGTTGTCCTTCCATGGATCTCTCTTTACCTGTAATACAGCTGCTCTCATCTTGATCCTGCACTCCAATGTATCGTTATCTCCTGCACCCCTTGAGCCCTCACTGACCCCTGCACTCACCATTTAGCTACAGGTCCCCTTAGCTCACTAACCCAGCACCCCTTGATCACACTAACCCAGCACCCCCTGATCTCACTTCCCAGCACCCCCTGATCACACTAACCCAGCCCACCCCCTGATCTCACTAACCCAGCACCCCCTGATCTCACTAACCCAGCACCCCCTGATCACACTAACCCAGCCCCCCCCGATCACACTAGCCCTGCACCCCCTGATCTCACTAACCCTGCACCCCCTGATCTCACTAGCCCTGCTGATCTCACTAACCCTGCACCCCCTGATCTCACTAACCCTGCACCCCCTGATCTCACTAGCCCTGCACCCCCTGATCTCACTAACCCTGCACCCCCTGATCTCACTAGCCCTGCACCCCCTGATCTCACTAACCCTGCACCCCCTGATCTCACTAGCCCTGCACCCCCTGATCTCACTAACCCTGCACCCCCTGATCTCACTAGCCCTGCACCCCCTGATCTCACTAACCCTGCACCCCCTGATCTCACTAGCCCTGCACCCTTATATCTCTAACCCCTGCACCCTAATTATCCCTCGAGCTCATGCACCCCTTATCTCTGTATTAACTCCACCCTCATCTCTCTAGCTCCAGCACCCTAATTATCCCTTTAACCTCTGCACCCTTTACCTGTCTCTGTGAGCTCCCTGATATTAATCATGGCTCTTTATCACTGTCCCCCCAATTCACCCTCCCTGTCATTCATTCCCCCTCTGTGAGCTCCTGACAAGCATCCTTCACCCAGTCCATCTTATTAGCAGCTTACATTGGCTTTCCTCATATGCCACATATTCTTCCTTTTATTGTGATGATGCTGGATTTTTTAGCAGCCTCCATTAACCCTCTCTCCTGATCCTCTCCATCCTTTCTATCTGTCCATCAGCCATCACTGGCTGCCTCTCTTCTATCATACCATACTCAGAGCCCTCTCCCCAATACTCTTCTAATATCCAAGCCACCCTAGCCCCCAATACTTCTATCATATCCCAGACCCCTCCCCAATACTTCTATCATATCCCAGACCCTCTCCCCAATACCTCTATCATATCCCAGACCCCCTCCCCAATACCTCTATCATATCCTAGCCCCCCTCCCTAATATCACTATCATATCTCAGACCCCCTCCTTCCCAATACTCTACTAATATTCCAGCCCCTCTCCCCAATATCTCTATCATATCCCAGCCCCTCTCCCCAATATCTCTATCATATCCCAGACCCCCTCCCCAATACCTCTATCATATCCCAGATCCCCCAATACATCTATCATATCCCAGACCCCCAATACCTCTATCATATCCCAGACCCCATTCCTCTGTCATATCCCAAACACCCCATTCATTACGTCTGTCACATCTGAGTGACCTCCTGTTACCCCTTGCTCTCCCCATTATCTTTCTGACATCATTCAGCCCCCTCATTGTTTGTGTTTTGTTAGCTTGTTGTCCCATCACCCCACGTGCATGCAGCCCTCTCTCTTATTTCATAGTAAGGGGCTATAGGGCTGCATGTGAGCGTGAGTATCCAGGCTGTGAGTGCTCCTCACATTGCTATATCAGGCACTCAGCACACCTGGGGTATATGGACAGGAGCTCCCTACTACGGCTCATCCAGGGGCAGGTGAGACATGTCATCAGGAGAGAGAGGGGTGTGCGTGTGTGTGATACTCTGTGTGTGTGTGATACTCTGTGTGTAAGTGACACAGTAGAAGTGATAACAGTATGAGAAAGAGAGATATACTGTGTATATATGTGTATGAAGCAGACGGAGAGTGTGTGTGTGTGAGAGAGGAGTTACTGTGTGTGTGTGTGTGTGGAGAGAGAGTTACTGTGTGTACATTTGTGTGTATGTTAGAGAGAGTTACTGTGAGTATATATATGTGTGTGTGTGATGGAGAGAGACTCTGTGTATATTTGTGTGTGTGATGGAGAGAGACTATGTGTGTGTGTGTGTATGTGTGTGTAATGGAGAGAGACTGTGTATTTGTGTGTGTGAGGGAGAGAGACTGTGTGTATATTTGTGTGTGTGTGATGGAGAGTGACTGTGTGTAGGTGTGTGTGTGTGTGTGTGTAATGGAAAGAGACTGTGTGTATAATTGTGTGTGTGTGAGGGAGACAGTGTGTATATGTATGTGTGTGAGGGAGAGAGACAATGTGTATATGTGTGTCTGTGCTTCTATGTGTGTGTGACAGGGGGCTATACTGCGTGTGTATATGTGTTTATGCGTGTGCTTGTGTATATGTGTAAGACTGAATTGTGAGTTATACTTTTGTATGTGTGTGAAGGAGAGATACTGTGCATATATGTGTGTGAGAAGGGAGATACTGTGTGTATATGAGTGTAAGAAGGAGCAATTATGTATGTATAAAATAGATATTCTGTGAAAAAAAGACAGTGTGTGTGTGAGACAGAGAGACAGTGTGTGTGTGAGAGAGATGCTGTGTGTGTCTGAGAGCAAACACTGTGTGTGTGTGTGTAAGAGAGAGAGAGAGACACACACAGACAGACAGTGCGTGTGCGCGTGTAATATTATGTGTATGTGAAAACTTCTAGATGTACTTTGGCAAGGCATATGTCTAATTTGTTGTGCCAAAACAGCTGATTTGATCTCCAAGTGTATGAAATATAATACACTTGGAGATTTTAATATATAATACACTATAAGAGATTTGTTTGTATGTATATGTTTGTGAGAGAAAGGCTGTGTGTGTGAGTGAACAAGATACAATGTGTGTGTACGTGTGAGAGAATGTGCTTGTATGTGAGTAAATTCAAAATTAATATAAAATTTCAAGCTAAATTAGCAATTAAAAAACATTCTCCAAGTGAGCTATCTTTTCAGTTCAGCTATTTAGCTAAGATAAAATCTCACTTTCAATTCCTTACATCCACATGTGTGATAGACAGAGACTGTGTATGTAAATTGGTGAATATCACTTAAATACAGGGATTATAGAGATAACTGTTAGTAGACGGATATGAGGGAGAAATGTAGCTAGAAAGGAGATAAACAAAGTGTAAGCGAATGAATTCTCACGTTGCATGTGAATGAATAGATAAACAATATAAGTTGAATGAATGAATATGTTAGAGAGAGGCATGGACATATGAAGTTGAGTGAATCTAAATGAATGGGTGGGAGAAACAGGTCAGTGAATGGATGGGAGAAGAATAAATGAATGCTTGATTGAAAAAAAAAATGTGAGCGATTGAATGGATGAGATTGAGAAAAGCGAGTCTGTGGATAAATGAGAATGAGCGATGCTGCGAGAGGAACAAGGGTGATGGCTGGTTGAGAGTAGTGTGAGTTAATAGACGAGAAAGGATAGTTTGAGGGGATAGATGAAAGGGAGAGGAATGATCATCGAAGCAAGAAAAATGTGTGAGGATATGCACGAATGAATGACATGAGATAATGAATTAAAAATACTTGCAAATTTTTTTTTAATAAAAGTTACATTAAAGAAAAAAAATCTAACCTGTTATACTGTTAATCAGAGCACTGTTAAACGTGCCTGCCTAGAGTTGCAATCAGTAGTGTCTCATACTGGTCTGTGCGGACTGATCTTATCCCATAAATCTCAAAGTATGGCAGAGGTTTATGGGATAGGTCATAGTATGATTGGGACCGCTATTTAACCCCTTAAGGACACATGAAATGTGTGACATGTCATGATTCCCTTTTATTCCAGAAGTTTAAGGGGTTAAAGTGATGGTTCCCATGCTGTGACTGCTAGCAATGTATACACAACATGGACTGCACATGCACAGTCTGTGATCGGTGACGGGAGAGATGGGAGAGATCACACATGCACAGTCCATGACCGGTGACGGGAGAGATGGGAGAGATCGCACATGCACAGTCCGTGACTGATGGGGGGAGAGAATATAAAGGTTGCGCATGCACAGTGCACAACAGGGAGGGGAGAGAGCGCCTCCCCCATTGTTTTTGTGTCATGCACAGAATGCCTGGGCCAGATGGAAAATATTGATATGAGCAACCCAGAACCAGGTGTTTCGGGTGCCTGATTGATAGTGCTTTTGAAAGTGTGCCATTATAACCTACTGTGAGCAATGAGAGTGGGCTCTGTGAGCTCTGAGCACCCTGTACCTTGCAGGAATGCAACACGCTTACAGCGAAGTACGAGACAATTAAAGGGACACTCCACTGCATGCATGCATTTATTATGCAATTTTACATTGGGGGTATTCCTAAAAACAGCTTGCAAAAGTTGCAGTTCTGTTGTCTGCAGCCTTTTCGAACCCTCTCCCTTCAACCAGCTAAAGTGGTTTAATGGTCCGGAGTGTCCCTTTAAGTGGATGAATTAATGCATCAGGTGAGAATGAATGGACGAGGCAGGGCTGATGCATCTTTGCAGACAAATTGTGGAGGATGCTTTTCGAGGAAATAAAGGCCAGGAAATGAACTATAAATGGAGTGAATGTGAAAGGAAACTGGTGGGTGTTCAGTGAACGCGTGGAACTTCTTAAAGGAGTGAGTGGGAGAGACTGAAAATAATAAAACAGAACTGGATGCCACTAATCGCACCGGAAAATGACTGTGTCGGTGAAATAAACACAGAGTAAAACAAAACGTGTACAGATTTCTCCAAATGATCGTCGTCTCCTGCGAACCCCTTGTTATTTATTAGTAGTTTCTGCAGGTACTATTAATCGGGTCGGGGGGAACAAAGGTGGAACCTCTATCCCAGCTACTTACAACACCCACGATGCTTTGCCTGCCTAACAAACAGACAAAGAATCATGGTAGATGTAGTTCATGAAAAGCTGGGGGGCATCTAACTTTTTACCACATGTCCTAGATCTGTCCGAGAGGTTGACTTAAAGAATAATTTTCACTATGGAAGATTATTCAGCTAATTACACTGCATTTCAATATGTATTTCTCCGTTAGCCCTGCTCGTCTTGTTACAATTTCGTTCTCTGTCGGTTTTATTAAACACTTATTCGTCATTTCTTGCAGCTCGACCCAGAGAATACGGGTTTTGTTTGTGCAGAAACATTCGCCACCCTGGTCAATAACCATGAGCTGCCCCTGGACCCTGCCAAGCTGGAGATGTTATTTGCCCTCTCACAGGGCAATGAAGAGGGGCAGATCTGTTACCCCCAACTGGTGGACCTGGTGAGTAAAAATCCTTGAATTACTGGACAGCCCCCCTCTAAGCAGAACTATTTATGGGACGTATTGGTGGTACCACTAACACAGCTCCCAACATTTCACCAGGAGAAAGAGGGACACTTTAATTTAGTGGGGTGTGGATGTGGCAAGAGCTGAGAAATTGTAAATGACATGCTATTCAGTATTTATGGAACTAAAATTTAATTTAGAACTAGAACAATGTATCTTATTTACACAGACTGTTTTCTAAACATTGTAGTTTGCAGACACATTACTGGGAATATTATTGCTGTGGAGCTCTGTTATACACTCATACACATTACTGGGAATATTATTGCTGTGGAGCTCTGTTATACACTCAGACACATTACTGGGAGTATTATTGCTGTGGAGCTCTGTTATACACTCAGACACATTACTGGGAGTATTATTGCTGTGGAGCTCTGTTATACACTCAGACACATTACTGGGAGTATTATTGCTGTGGAGCTCTGTTATACACTCAGACACATTACTGGGAGTATTATTGCTGTGGAGCTCTGTTATACACTCAGACACATTACTGGGAGTATTATTGCTGTGGAGCTCTGTTATACACTCAGACACATTACTGGGAGTATTATATACACTCAGACACATTACTGGAGTATTATTGCTGTGGAGCTCTGTTATACACTCAGACACATTACTGGGAGTATTATTGCTGTGGAGCTCTGTTATACACTCAGACACATTACTGGGAGTATTATTGCTGTGGAGCTCTGTTATACACTCAGACACGTTACTGGCAGTATTATTGCTGTGGAGCTCTGTTATACACTCAGGCACAGCAACAATATGGAGCTCCTAGAAACAAGGGGAATTAGGATAGAAAAAAGGCCCAAAATAGGGAATGTCCTTCTAAATAGAGACACCTGGTAGGTATGCACCAGGAAAGGAATTTCAAACTCTGGTCCCCAAATGCGTTAATGGCCTACAACTCCTAAAATTCTTTGGAAGGAATAGATAGTCAGAGAATTCTGGGATTTGTAGTTCAGCATCATCGGGGGGAGGACACAATTTGATAGGCACTAGGACATCTAACTTAGAGTCCATACAGTAACATACAGTATACAGTAACAACCTGAAATCCTTCACAGTTAAACCATACAGCCCAACCTTGAGAACTTTCCTTGGTGTTAGGTTTACGTCCTAATGTTACCATTGTTATATAAATGTGTGGCTCTCATTTGGAGCTACAGTACACCATCAACACATCTAAAATGGTCTCTCGACCACCTGACCAGACATTCAGAGATTTAATTGTATCTACGAGTGGCCAACAGGGACAGACTCATACAGATGCTGGTGAGTTGGCAGAAGATGAACAGTTGTTTATTTTATCAATATTCAGGGTTCCTCAGGTGTGCGTGTAGCACAGAACTCTCCTTGGGGGTTGTCCGATATGTTTGATATCGCTAACCCTGATACCAAAAGCTTTCAGTAATCTCTGCATCTTTTGAAGAACATCTGCTATAGGATTCCTTTGTTCTGCTTCTGCCTTTACTCAACATGAGTCAGACAGCTTCGGGTTCTGGACAAACATAGCTTCTGGGCTATCTTTCAATTTTAATAAACAAAGCAGAGCTTTATGAAGGTTCTTGTATCGAGTCCCAAATCGTGATAAAATTATGTGTAAAACATGGGGAAATTGGTTCTCCTACATTATTCCTAAATTGTTACCAATAAATCAAGCATTTCATGCTTTTAGTAATCTCAGCTCTATGCTGGAGTACGTGAATATTTTTTTAAATGTCTATACTGTAGACAAAGAATGTAAGAGCTTATCGACTGTTGTGTTTGTACTTTAAGGTACGTCCGGTGGGATAGATTTTGGTAATGTAAGCAAATAGGGTTATTTACCAAGTTGAGAATTGTTGGGCATTCAAAGTAAATTCTAAATTAATTTCATAAACGGGAGCTGAATTTGAAGCATAGCTGATACAGAGAATTTTTCCAATTCAACTACTTTACTTTTAAATGAGAATTGGGAATTTTCACTTTTGTAAATAACTCTGTAAGTGTATATAAAATATGTCTCTCATTTAAATGCTATAAAGCTGTTGTAAAAAATATTACACTGGCAAATTTTAAATATCTTATGCATAAATATTATAAGACTTGTAACATTTTCTGCAATGCCTTTTGCTGCCGTCTGGTCTTGCTATATTAGAGACAGATTTGGACTTCCAATTTTTTAAAACTTTATTACATTTAATGAAGCATAATGATATTTTTTTAATTATGCATATAAATTTTTTTTTTTGAAAACATCAATTGTTGGCTGAGCGGCCATGTTGGATCAGACATGACTGTGATCTCACTAACTGCTACTCAACGCAGCATTCACGTTAGGCTGAGCAACAGTTGGTCGGATAACCGTAGAGTCTGACCCAAAATGGCCGCTCAGCCAGATAAAAAATAAATTAAAAAAAATTTAAATTTAAAAAAAATAATTGAATATACATCGTAAAAAAATATTTAAAAATAAATAAGCTTTAATTAATGTAATAATCTTTTAAATAACGAGGAGTGAAAATGTAACTTAAAATTAACGTTTATGTAAGCTAGGATGTACGTGTTGTCTCTTTTTAACATTTTAGCTATTTATGTTTATTATTTAAAGGGAAAAAAATGACTAATGCATTTCTATAAATAACTTTCATTTGTATGTCATGGCATTTAAAGCAAGGTACTTGCTTTAGGCTAGTGCTTAATATTTAATTGGCTTGTTATAAAATGGTGCATTGTATGGCTTTGTGAAGATATTTCCGGACTGGATTTGCTGAAACGTAATACTCAGGACCTGGGTCAGTTCATGGATTTGTTTAGAAAGCTAAACATAGAGTAGGGGGGAAAATGCATTTGGGATATGGAGCGTAAGAAGTTAAATTCGCTGTGATCCATTGGGTAGTGAGAATTTAATCTCCTTCCTTCTCCTGTCCCTTTTTATTACTCTTGCAATCTTCAAGGCTACTGATATACGAATATTCCCGTGGTTGTCTAACACTTACACAGCTCCCACCCTGTAATGCTGTTTATGCACCTCTGTCATTTTTGTGCTTAAGTCACCAGGATATTTTACATGCGGCCGACAGACGGAGCCCACGCATCGTGGCATTATAACAGGATTAGTAGGACACTTTGTCAAGTGCCTGTGTGAGGACGCCTAGTTAAACTGCTTTAGGCAGGAATCCTGTTAAGATCTCTTAGGAAAGCGCATACTAATGTTTTCTGTTTGAGCTGTTTGCCTGGGAGCCATTTCTATGTAGACGTGTTTAGTCTAATGTGATGCAGGTTATTTTCAAGTGAATTTTCTCCTGTTTGCACGGCAGATCAGCAGCAAGAGGTCCAGTAGCTTCAGAAGGGCCATCAGTAGTGGTCAACGTGCTCTCCCGCGGGATGTCCTGCTTGACCAGGCCGGACTGGGAGTCTACAAGAGATTTGTACGTTATGTGGCCTATGAGATTCTACCTGGTGAGATGGAGAGACGTTGGTACTTTTACCAACACCGACCATGCCCTCCACCTATCTTCATGGCAGCGGTGACTCTGACACAGGCAAGGAATCTCCTCTACTCTCATGCCAGAAGTACTCAATGTATATCTTTATTAATCCACTAACAGAGGTCTATTTCAGTATCTTATAACATTGAAGATCTGACCAAACGATGTTCCACCTACAAGTCTAGGATACACTGAAACACACATCAATCATAGAGCAGTAGGAGCTCTGGAACAGTACAGTCAAAATAGTTTTTTAGATTATTACTGTGTAAATAAATGTTTTTACTTGACCAACTTCTTACACTAGGTTATTACCAGAATCTATTTCTTGCCACTGTGAGTGGAAGCCACCCCAGCCTTGACGATAATAAGTAATCGTTTTAACAATTGCTACAAATTGCTAACCTTAAGATAGACCATCTTTAAAGTAAAAATGACTAGCATGGCCGCCACACTCATTTTTTTCCCACAATGCAAAGTGGAACATGCACAATGCACAACATGTGGCCATATCTGAAGCTTTGTGGGAGGCAGACATTTATTGGGAAGCACAAACATCCATATGCACCATATGTTCAAAAACGTGTCTGAAGAGGACCTTCTCTTTCAAGCCAATCGTAGATAGCAAGATATCATATTCAAGCAGTTCCCAGATATGTAAAGTCCTGCAATGGTCAGATTGTCACAAAATTGAAAATCCCCTAAATGTCTTCCAGTAGCCTCAGACCACGGAGACTATGTGATCTGTTTTATCTTAACTGACAGAAAGGGGTTGCGACTCTTCCATTCAATGGTTTGTGTTATCAAGAATCATAGGCTGAACATTCGTATATTTTCAATCATTACGGAGCAGGTTTTATGCTCAAACTGTGCCTTATTCACTTCCTTAACATGTGGAGGTAATCACAAAACAGAAAAGTTTATGAATTGAAAGCTAGATGGCAAAATGTAAGCTCAATTGCCAAGCTGTTACTATAGCTAAATTGGAGATTTTTTCTCTCAAATCAGTAATTTTGGAATACGTTTTACCTTTTAGTTTTAGAATCACTACATTTTACCAGCAGAGAGGGGCATGTGGTTTTAGGAAGAGGGAAATGTATGGTATTAGAATGCAGAAGTTAATGACCCAATTTTATCTCTTGCTATATATGTCTGTCTCCATTCTAGATCATCGTTTTCCTGTGTTATGGGGTCAGATTGAACAAATGGGTCTTACAGACGTACCACCCTGAGTACATGAAGAGCCCCCTCGTCTACCACCCTGGGCATCGGGCACGAGCGTGGCGCTTTCTCACCTATATGTTCATGCATGTTGGGTAAGCCTGGATTTTTATGAAAATAACATTGTTTTGCCGCATTGGATAGAAATGAGTGTTTCTGCATGTGACAAGAGAAATTGTCAGTTTAACAAAGTTCCTGGATTGTACCCTCCCAGAGTTTTACTCACCTGCCTTGTGCACAAGATGGAGAGGGTCTAGGAGAAGCATTGCGGGCACAGGACGGCCAATGCTATGCATGCGCCCTGCCTCCCAATGCTTCTCTATGAAAAGACTTTTATTTAAATCGCAGAAATGTTCCTTAACACAGTACTTTCAGAGTGTTACTTTCAGTGGATCAAACGTACCATAGTCCTGTCTCGTTTAATCTTTACCTTTTAATGGTTTTAAAAATATGTTTACAGAAAATCTACACAGTTTGTCTACTCTAGTGATTAATATAAACTCGTTGAAGGTGAAAGGTACAAAGTGCCCGGTAGTAATAAATGCAATTCCCTTTAAAAGTCTTTTATCAGTCAGAGCTACCTTTCTTTTCCCTTAGCTGAAGAATGTAACTCCATTATATTACCCTCGTTAGTCAGAGATAATGAGGCCTAATTACTTGGTTTTCAGCCTTTGTTACCAGTTCCTCAATATAAACTATTTATCACAGCTGTACTCCCCGGGGTTTGTGGCAAATAACAGTCTAACCGTATCTTATTGCTTCCATTTATTGTAATCAGAGTTTTGCATAGACTCCAGTTTAAAACAATATTACATTTTATATAACACTATGGCTTTGACTGTTCTGTCCTTGTTTTGTTTCCACCATTAGTCATATTGTTCTTGGTGGGACGTCCAAAAATCTGACCTAAGCAGGGGTGTGGCTTATGCCTGGGTGTGACTTTTGTGGTTTAGTTGGCGCTGAGGCATTTGTGCATATTCAGTGAGTTTCAACTGAATTTCCAGTAATGGTGTTCTATGTAATTTTATGTTTCGCACTCACCCATGAATAATAACTACCGTCTGACAGCCTCTTAAAAAGGAACTGTCCATTTTCTGTTGGCTATGTGCTTTCAAGTACTCTTTAAGGCTTACAGTTATCTGTAAGATATGAGAGAGTCTGTTATGTTAGTTTAGGGAGTGGTTACTGGTTTATTCTGTGTATTACACAATTAAATAATAAACCGTGTATAATCTTTACAGATGTAGACAGACCATTGGCCACAGTGACTGCAGACACTGTCCTTTGTTTCTTTTTCTTCCAGTGACTCCATGTTATCCTAAAACATAACTCTGGGTCCTAAAGGGTGGGGCTAGAACCTCAAAGAAGCCTCCTCATTGGTTGCTGGTTTTCTGTCAATTTGAGTGCTTTATTTGATCCATGGAATAGAAAATACTAGAAAATCCTAGAAAATTATAGACTTTATAATTAAACCAATTTTTCTCCAAGGCACAGGAAATTTTGAAATGACACATTTTGAAAGGCTATGTCTTTTCTTTAAAACCTAAAAGGTCAGGGGGTGTGTGTGGGGGGGTGATAGCCTGACCTGCAAGCCGAGCAGCCGCATGTTCACAGGGCTGCTATTTCAGCAGATTTCCCAACAATAATCACAATTGCAAAGCTTGACCACACACCAAATAGCTCTACCCAAACTGGGTAATCTGACCCGAGTGAATTTGTGATCAAGAGCCTGAGATAGCTTACCGCGGATTGTGGAGATGGGGAGAGGCGGACACTCTCCTAGTCCTGTCACTGGCGGTGCGGATTCATTGACATCCTACCCCTCTCCCCCAGGGACTGGTGGGGGTGAAGCAGATCTACTCCAGGGAGGCAACCCTGCTCCACATGACACACGAGCAGATACCGATCGAGCGACATACATCCATGGAGAAGCAGAAAATGGCAGACGCCATGTGCTCTCACACATGCTGGGACCTCGAAGCCAGACTGGACAGCTTATTCACTGCCTTCTGGAGAAAGCTGGAACTTAGGCAGCAACAGGTTTCCAATACAAGAAGCGAGAGAACACTTACCTCACAAACTGCCTACACGATCCCGTGGAAAACCCATGGTGCTCAAATTGCAGAGGGCTCGAAAATGGTGGATCACACGATCCAGCTCAGGGCGCACTCAAGCTGCCCATCGGAACTCTGCCAGGCATCCCAGCAAGAGAAAGGCAGTAAACGCTACAACAAGAAACCTGCCACAACCCGACCTGGCCACCCCGAGGAGCCTGCCTCACCGCTCATGCCAGATTTCAGGGCCACACAGGAGAAGCTTGCAAACCTCCATAACCTTGCCTCATTTCCAAATCATGTATGTGGGTCTCTACCTAGGTGGGCAACGGGGCATAGCACGGAGACTCTCCTGGCAGGAAAGTGGAGTACCCCCTTCGAGGCATTGGCTGACCTCAGGACGGAGCACAAGAACCACGGAACTCCAGCAATACACCGTGTGCCAAGCTTAACAATTGTTTAATTACCCCATTAGCATGTTTCCTTTAATTTGTTCTCACAGTGGGACTCAAGCCTGGTTTAGCTGGGGGGCCTCCAGGGAGGAATTCCTATCAATCACAGTGCCTATAGTAATCATCCCTTTACCACAACTGTCAACGCCTAACTAGACTGTCCTCATGTTTAAAACTAGTATTCATGTCATTACATAAAAAATGTGCATTGTGTTTCCATGTCATGCCTTACTAATTCAATGTATATTATTAATATATTGTGTGTGTGTGTGTGTGTGTGTGTGTAAATGCTGTTGTGGCATTGCAAACACATCTGTAACTGCTTTTTCTTTATGAACGCAAAAATAAAGAATATAAAACAAACAAAAAAAAACAACCTAAAAGGTCACATCTCTAAAATGTAATATTCGTTTAGCAGTCAGTATGATTTCCGTTGTCTCTTTGAGAGGAGGCAAAGCACAGCTCAGTTGTGGTGGATTTTCGGAGCATCTACAAAATTCTTCTGAAGTTTTTAAAATTGTTCACCCACATATTGCCCTGTGTGATGCTTTCTGTAAATTCTGGACTAATTACCACCACAATATTTAATGTTTGGCTGCAGAAGGAGTTCTGCTGCCATCATCACCCGATTCTTCGAGTCTTTGCATTCCCATATACCAAGCCTGCAACTTGTCCACCACAGCCTGATTGCAAAGTGAATTGTAGGGAGAACATGCATATTTTGCGTCACAGAAACATCTTACATAACAAGATATGTGTTATGTAATAAGTAAGATTTTAAAAAGTCACCCTTAGTTTTATAACTAAATGTTTTCAGTGTCAAATACTTCCAAATTTGTTGCCTCTCTCTGATAAACTAAACTTTCATTGGCTATCTTATACACAGATACAGCTTACGTCAGCCAATCAGAGCAACATGTAGTGTATATTTATGCCAGACCTAATTTTTCAGAAAAAAAATAAATATGCCCTTTTTGTGGTTCCTGACCCACCGCTGTTATATAACATTCTATGCCCATAATGTCTGTGCAAATTCTAAATTTAGCTCACTTTCATTATGTGCCGTAAGGATAAAAAAAACCAGTCACGTTGTCCTCAGCAGAAATAAAATATAAATAATGTATATTTATTAAAGCAGGTTTTTTTTCATTCATGTCTTACGGACCTAGCCCCCCTCACCCCCCCACCACCACCATTTTCCCAGAATCCTTCACTGAATTACTATTGTCCTCTTCCCTGAAGTGACCAAGGCCAGGTAGCCTGTTGCTATGGGAACCAAAATAAATGGCTGTATGGCAACTTATTTAAAGGTCTCTCTCCACCGCGTTTGCCTTAAATTATTCACGCCTTTGTTATAGTAATATTATTCGCAACAGAACAAATTTAAGTGATGGTTCTCATTTAAAAAAATATATGTTTTATGCAACGACATCAGTTCAAAGACTCCAATATCATAAAATGTTTCTTGCAGAAATGTATCATTGCTGAGAATCCCCCCTATCTTGTGCCCTTTCAAGCTAATAGGTAGACTCAAGGGAGAAGCAGGGTTAATCCTGAATACACGGCCAATAGTAATCAATGTTTGTGTTAATAATTACTGCGTAAATATACGGACTAGTTTAACGTATGACCCTCCTTTTTTTCAAGCTATCGAAAGCTCTGTCAGAATTAACCAATTTTCGATGCCCAATCCTTGCTCATTTTTTATCACAATTCCCTAAGTATAACAAATCACGGAGTACAACTTGATTATATTGACTGCTGGCTTCAGCCACGAATCAAGTTAATACACAACAGTGGAATGAAACTACAAGTAACACAGGCCCATGAGGTTATACGCACTCTATATTTACACATAGAAAAGGAATCATATTAGAAAAAATGAAAAGGAATCATATTAGAAAAAAACACAAAATATACACAGATTTAAGAAAGACAATTTATGAAAGTAAAATCAGTATCAAACCAATACACTGAGTTGTGTGTGTCAACGCGTTGTTTGTACTTTGTACGGTTTGTGATTGGTTGGTCAAGCTTCTAAAATTTAGTTTTTTGGATGAGTGGCATATTATGAGTACAATTTCACGGTTTAATCTACAGTAGGTGTTAGTATGAATCTTTATATATTTTAGGGCTGCAGTGTAATTCTATATATATTTTATTAACCATCAATATATATGTCTGCTCATGGGAGTATTTTTACTCTGAATTTGAGACCTATCATCCCTGGGTTTTGTATATGGTGTGTGCCTTCTGGAAGTTGGAGACGGCTGGGAATTTTTGCCCCTATTAGCAAAACCCCTACGCCATCTTGTCGCTAGTGATGACAACAGTGACATGCCTCCTGTAGGTCACGCCCCCTCACGTTCTTCCACATTACTCAGTGATGGGAGGGATGCTACATACCAGGTTATAGACTCCCAAAGGCAGGAGTTTACTAAATTAAATAAACTAAGTTTCGACAAAAATATATTTTTTACGACCAAAAATGAGTGGTACACCTGTGGCAGGTCTCTAAACAAATCAGAATGATGGGTTGTCTGGCAATAGTCTAGCAAAACAGTTTTACTATTTAACAGAGTATTTAATAGTAATAAAAAATGCTTATTTTGAAGGTCTGACTGTGTGCCAAAATGGATCTATAGATATATATTTTTCAACTTAAAAAAAAAAAGAATGGACAATCTGGGCTCTCAGCCAGTAAAATGGGTTTATTTTTGTGCTCTGCCACATGGCCAAGAGTAATTTTGTAACGCTTAGAAAACCCATCAGACTAAAAAGGGTTTAATCAGCATGTTCTGGGGGAGCGCAACCTTTTGTCTTACAAAAAGGAATTCAGGCAGAGAATTATAATTCAAAGTAATTGGTGGGTCGAGTTTAGACACCATTGATTTAGCAGTCCTGGATTTGTGTCTATAGATAGATAGATATCACAGTATAAAATGAATGCATAGTTATCATAATAACATTCGTCTCACTAATAATGTATATATGGCGAAGGGTATGATCTAACAGTGTTTCCCAATCCAGTCCTCGTGGACCACCAACAGTCCAGGATTTATGTATTTCCCTGTTTTATTCCAATGGAGGTACTGACAAAACCTGGACTTTTGGTGGTCCATGAGGACTGGGTTGGGGAACACTGATATTCCAACACACAGAAGTTGAACATATTGCATATCTTTAGATTGGCTGGTCTTAACACAGTGTCTAGAATAGTCGAAAATAGCATAGTCTGGAAACTAGCCAAGGGCAGGGGATCCAGAGATACATACGAATGCAATGCCAGGCCACATCTAGGAGTACAGAGATCAGGAGAGCCAAGCAAGCCGGGTCATTATACCAGAGAACACAATGAACAAAAAATGCAATGTTGGAAATCACTAATGAGACCACAACAGGGCAATGACGCAGAGCTAGTTCTGGCATCAATAGCCAGGCCTGCATCATTCCTGGACACCCAGAGCGTACATGTGCATTGATGCCAGAATGACTCAGGGTTGGTTGCGTCCAAAATTTAACACTTGAGCGTCTTATTATAAAATGAGGCAGGGAAGCAGCTTTCTGCATATCTAATGGTTTAAATTATACACCCCAACATAGACGTCCCCTGGATCAGGACGACGGCAGGTGAGGATAAAAATCGGTGGGCACATGACGTAAGTGGGGACACCAGGGAACAAACCAAGGACAGCCGGACAGGACCCTAAAATTGTGCCTGCCCCGGTGAAATTGGGACATTAGGGGAGTCTGGTAAATATAAGGGGTCATTTCGACCCCTTCATTGTTTTTCTTTAACAATGTGTCTGTGCACAGTGACAGGGTTATTTAGCAAAGTGAGTATTCAAAGTGAATTCTAATTTAAGGCCAGAGTAGCGGAAGGGAAAGCAGAGCTTACTTGGAGAATTTTTCAAGGACAGCTACTCTGACCTTAAACTTAAAATTCAGTTTCAATTCACTTTGAACCCTTACTTTGGTAAATAAATGTATGTCCAATGAAATAAATATATGAGAGTATTGTAAAAGAACTAAAAGTATATGTTTCAACTTTTGAAGTTCTAGACTAAAAACCAGGCATGTATCTTATAACGGCTCTATGGAGACAATCTGTTTTGTCAGGGAGCATCTCATACAAATTCTCTCTTTAGAAGTATCTTCTTTATGTGTTTTTGTAGACGGTTAATTCTTAATCTTCAATGCACATTCATTTACATAGGTAACACGTGTCTTTAGATATAGATGAACAATGAGCTAGAAGTAATGAATAAACATTGTTCTTGTATCAGATACAAATAAATCAGAATAATAATTACTGTAATCTAGCTGTCGGCAAAAGTCAGATGTATTTAGTCATTGCACGGGATGCTTGACTCACTCATCACTTGGAGTAAACATGTTTGGCGATAGTGAACTGAACTTCCAATCTTAGTTCAGGACAATGGACAGCATTCATCTGCATCCCACCATGACGTACTGTAGGGTCCTGACCATATTCTAAGTAGGATTTTCTAACATGCCAGTTCCTTTTGGTTCATGAAACAACATTTCACGTTATAGTTTGTATCTGAAGAATAAAAAAGACACAAAGCCAGAATGTTTCATTTCCAAGATCCATTTTATTTATGAAGTTAAACAATGGAGCCGCATGTCACTTTGCGCAGAACCTGATGTCACTGTTTTCTCTCTATTCTTATTTTGTTTCGATTGTTTCAATGTTTTTGTCTCTGGTAGATTGGAGCAACTGGGGTTTAATACCCTCCTACAGCTAATGATTGGGGTACCCCTGGAGATGGTTCACGGGGTGCTAAGAATCAGCTCTTTGTATCTGGCTGGGGTGCTGGCAGGTAAATAAATAACGCTGTAAATGTAATTCGCTTTTTGTACAGATTTTTGGTAAAAGTAAATACAAGATTTAGGCTAATCCAAGAAAAAAAAATGAATCCTTAAATATATATTGCTTTACTGTATCATGTGATATATTTTCTCCTACTTTTTGTTGAGAGTAGACTTGTGCACGATTGGCATCATGTGGGTTTGGGTTATAAGGAGAAATTTGGGGCAATGTTCTAAAAGTGGAGCAATGATGTGAAATATTCCATTGGTTTCCATGGAGACTGTTCAACTTGTAGAACACTAAGCAAGAATTCTTCTTCTTATAAGACTCCACAGGTCAATCCCAGTAGGATTGATTTGTTTGGGTGTAAAGGAAATTTGATTTGTTCGACACTGCTGAAACTTATTTGTATAAATGTCTTTTTGGGAGTGGAGAATAATCACACACAAAACACAACCTAGCAGGAATCTTAGCTGATCTACTCCTAATCAAGAGCCTGCAGAGTGTATTTGCCTATTGATCAAATAATAGCTGTGATTTGCCAGCCCCCTCACTGATCCTGCTGGGGGGATCTGAACAGAGAACATGTTACAGCCTACACAGTCTTCATAACCATAATTGACCATACATAATATACACTGAACAAAATTAGAAACGCAACACTTTTGTTTTTGCCCCCATTTTTCATGAGCTGAACTCAAAGATCTAAGACTTTTTCTATGGACACAAGAAGCCTATTTCTCTCAAATCTGTCTAAATCTGTGTTAGTGTGCACTTCTCCTGTGCCGAGATAATCCATCCACCTCACAGGTGTGGCATATCAAGATGCTGATTAGACAGCATGATTATTTCACAGCTGTGCCTTAGGCTGGCCACATTAAAAGGCCAGCCTAAGCATGTTGATATGCCACACCTGTGAGGTGGATGGATTATCTCGGCAAAGGAGAAGTGCTCACTAACACAGATTTAGACAAATTTGAGAGAAATCGGCTTCTTGTGTCCATAGAAAAAGTCTTAGATGTTTGAGTTCAGCTCATTGAAAATGGGGGCAAAAACAAAAGAGTTGCATCAATTTTGTTCAGTGTATATGACCCGTAACATAGCGGTTAGTATAGAGATATCACTCTCCCTTACAACTGATTTACAGGTCCTTTCGTCTGGTTTGCACTCTCTTAGGACAATGAGAATGGGAAGAATTCTGGCTCAATGTTCTAAAACGTAAACAGTCCCCATGGAAACTGATAGAATGTTCTTTGTCATTGCCCCAGAATTTCTCCTTATAACCTAAACCCACTCGATGCTAATTGATACCATTTCTAGCGCCCATACAAATACTCCATAGATACCGTTAAACAGGAATCTTGTTTTCTAGAAAGAAATAGAAGGTAATAATTAATTTTAATCATAAAACGTTAATTTTGTTATTTTTAAAAACAATTGTATTGCTCTATTTTCTCCCAGGATCCCTTGCAGTTTCTGTCACAGATATGAGAGCTCCTTTGGTGGGTGGCTCGGGTGGAGTGTATGCCCTCTGTTCTGCCCATCTTGCCAATGTTGTTATGGTAAGTATGGAGGTCATTGGCAGGAAGGTTACAGTTAATCCTGTCCGGACAGTTGGTTTTAGTAAGTAGTGCCTCAAATGCACTTTACACGCTGACATTTTAGTGATGCCCAATGGGCACTGAGTATAGTTTAATATAATTTGACTTAAAATAAATTACATTTATTTTTTAGGTTCAAACAGCATTGTATACATTTTATATCAGGATCTACAAATGTATATCATGATATTATTGTGGATGCGCATTAAGGGTATACACCAAGGCTTGTTGCAAAGTCAGAAGCTTCCTTTTCCCCCCAAACCTCTCCAATGACATTCTTCTCTATTGTTCTCACAGAACTGGGCCGGCATGCGCTGTCCGTACAAGGTTCTCCGAATGATCCTTGCACTCGTCTGCAGTAAGTACAAAACCACAGAAAAGGACTCTGGGTAATACCAGCAGCCATTTTGTATCAGCACTCCATATTCTTTACACACTGTCAGAGCTAATCGATTTATTAACATGCAGTATTCCCCAGTGCATGTGATTCACAGTATCATACTTCCCTGTAGGGTATACTGTTGGATTTATTCACTAAATCCCAGTAATATGAGTGAGCTTGTTGTGGCGAAACCAACCTCGCCACGAAGCATTGGAGAAGCCTGGTTGCTTGCCTGTTGCCCTTGGACTATGGCCCCATGTTAAAAAGCCTTCTTTTTCCCTGCAGAAAAGGCTTGTTTGTGTCTTTCTGCCCGGCGTTCGGTAGATTCATTCTACCGAACCAACAACCGAATGACTGGACCACCTGTATTGGGAGTGTGTCGGTAATTTACATCCCAGAAGCTGCGGTTAACCGCAGCTTAATTGCCGAATGCTGGGTGGCCTTTGTTCGTTTGCTGAACACGTGGCGGCGACCATTTTAAAGTCCCGAACGGCCAGCGGTGTTCAGCGCCCAAACTATGGAACTGGAAATGGACACTTATTTGCGCAAACACCGCTGAGCCGTCAGCCTCCTTGCGTCTGCATTCGGTCATTTAACTGGATGCCTTTTCATTCGGTAGTTTAACCGTATGAACAGCATTACCCCAGATAGCCATGCCACGGAGCCTATTCGTGTAACAAAAGACTATGGGAAAGACTTTGGCTCCATGGTGATTGAACTGTATGTATGTGATCTGAGCGCCATCCGGTAATAATGTGCACTCTGGGGATAGGTAGAATGTATATGTTTTGTGCAACAGTTGTAACTTTATAAATTTTTATGTCTTTTACTCTCTTTTACTGCCATGTGGTTAATGTAGTATTGACTCTGTCCTGGGAGATAATTGGATTACTTCCCAATTATCTCCAGGACAGAGGGAGGGAAATTAGGATGCATTGTGGGGATGTTTTACCTCTCTGTGTCTGTCATTGGTTCATGTCTGTCCTTTGTCACAGTCTCCCATTTGGTCCCCTAGGGCAGTGTCCACCAGGCGGGAGACCTGCATACATACTGGGCAGGTAGCCCTCAATAAACCAGACCACTGCTTGACCCTCAACACGGAGCTCTGTCTCGTCTTTGGTGAGATCTACTTTATGCTGTTAGAGACTGATTGCCAGGAGTGTAAGCCACTTGGGTGCTTTTCCTGTTCGTCTGCTAGCAGCTATTCATGAGGTTCCAGTTTGGGAGTTTGGAGCATTCCCTTGTATTCCGTTCGAGAGTTTGGTGTCCTGCAGTAGCTGTGCCTATATCTCTGGAAGTGAAAATCTACTAAACGGCGGTTTAACCCTTTTATGCCTGGGGGTGCCGTTACACTTGTCATCTACGACCTACAAATAGGAGACTTTCTTTTATATGGGGAGCCATATAGATTATCCATAGTTGTGGACATAAATGATATGGCGTTAGAGCATATTAAATGCCCTTGAAGTCTTGCTAGCTTGTCCATACAGTATGTAAGTGTAACGGACCGTTCTGCACACAAGAGGTTAAACCCGTTTAGGCGATATTCCCCTTTCCAGATGCACGGACAGCTACTGCAAGCACCAATCTTCTGAGCTGCAAACTACACGAATCCTCCAACTCCCGAAACGGAAACACACGCATACTGGAAACAGCCGAACAGGAAAAGCATACAATCAGCTTACACTCCTGGCAATCAGCATACAATCCAATTCCCCCCAAGAACGAGACGGCACTCCAAATTGAGGGTGAAGTAGAACTGGTTGACTGGGGCTACCTGCCCGGCTTTTATGCAGGTCTCCCATCTGGTGGACACTCCCCTAAGGGAACCAGATGGGAGACTGGGATACAAAAGGTAAAAGGAACAATCCCACAATGCATCACAATCCCTCCTCTCTGGCCTGGAGATAATTGGGAAGTAATTCAATTATCTCCAAGGACAGAGGCAAAACTCCATTACACACATTTTCAGTAAAAAGACATAAAATTACATACCTTTATCACATAAAACACACACATTCTACATATCCCCAGATAGCTTAGATCTGAGCGCACATTATTACCGAATGGCGCTCAGATCACATACATACAGTTCAATCGCCATGGAGCCAAAGTCTTTTCCATAGTCTTTCGTTACACAAATAGGCTCCATGGCATAGCTATCTGGGGTGATGCTGTTCATACGTTCAAACTACCGAATGAACAGTCATTCGGTTCCACTACTGAATGCAAAGGTAAGGAGGCTGGCAACTCAGCGGTGTTCGCGCAAATAAGTGTCCGTTTCCAGTTCCATAGTTTGGGCGCTGAACACCGCTGGCCGTTCGGGAGTTAAAATGGCCACTGCCACGTGTTCGGCAGACGAACAAAGGCCACCAGCGTTCGTCAATTAAGCTGCGGTTAACCGCAGCTTCTGGGCGGTCAATTGACGGCACACTCCAGTTCCCAGGTGGTCGATCGTTCAGTACTTTGTTCGGTAGATTGAATCTACTGAACACCCCGGCAGAAAGGTATGAATACGCCTTTCTGCAGGGAAAATAAAAGGTTTTAAATGCTGGGCCATAGTCTAAAGGGAGCAGGCGAGCAACTAGGCTTCTCCAGTGGACAGTGGCGAAGGCTGGTTCCGTCACAGTAAGCTTCTATTTACTTTGTTTATATAATATCTCCACACAGATTTGTATATTACCATGTGTTTTTCCACTCTCTCTTACTAGTGAGCTCCGAGGTAGGACGGGCAGTCTGGCTTCGTTTCTCTCCACCGTTACCAGCTGCTGGTCCCCAACCCAGTTTCATGGCCCACTTAGCGGGTGCCGCTGTTGGGGTCAGCATGGGTTTGACGATCCTGCGTAGTTACGAAGAGAACCTTCAGGACCAGTGTGGTTGGTGGGTCATCCTCTTGTGCTACGCTACCTTCCTTGCCTTTGCTATCTTCTGGAATGTATTCGCTTATGACCTTCTTGGTGTGCAGATCCCGCATCCCCCCTGACCTTTGAACCCTGTATGTGTCATGCCCTCGAGATTCCTTCGGTGCTGAACTGCCTGCCGATATTCTTTAACTGCCAGAGGTGACCGGCAGGAGTTGCTTTGTAATTGCTAGTCTCTGACAGCAAAAGGATTAACGAGACGACACTGGACCCAGGATTTGGGGGTAGTGGATTGGCGCAACACTTAGTTTCCCAATTTGAGTCCCACCCAGTAAGGCAGAATGATGTAACGCTCTTTGCTATGTATATATGTGGTCAGGTGATTTTATATGCTGTTACTGCTCTAAGTTATAAACCCCTTGGCACTGAGAGTTTCAGGAATTAATGGGTTATTACTACAAAATATTACCCTAACCAGAGAGTCAAATGCATTTTCCCCCTCTATCCAAACCACAGTTCGTTCAGCAGATATATGTACCGCTCCATCTAAATGGAACTTCTGGGGTGTAAACAGTTACAAGAGGAAGCCTTTCTTAACTGTTTGCATTCTGGTCTGTTCCACTTAGACCGAACACTCCAGAACTGCTTAGGAAAGGGAAAATGAGCATGTCATTAAAAAAATAAAATAATTTAAAACGCGGGTTTCCTTGAGTGCAGAACTTTACCTCATTTAGGCTCACGCTAGTGCCACCCGATACCCGCAACCAAAGCTAATTTTTTTTTTTTTTTATAAATACCTGGCTCTGGTGTGTGAAAAGCCTTGAAAAATGTGGGGTGTCTGAATGTATGTACTGCACCAGATAAGATCCCCAAATTTCTGCACATCAATCTCCACTTCCACTAGTAATTAACATCTTAGACAAACCATTGTGGAAATCTTTTGTAGTAAGCCCAATACCTAGCATATAAATAAGGCTTTCAGGCATGAATTGTGTAGTGCACATTGCAGATAATGTTAAGATCCATGTAGACACATAAACAATGATGTGTCTACACAGACAGGACAGTCTATAATATCTCCCTATTTCCATGCTAATTTAATGATGAACTAGCACTTTAATCGCTAATCTCAAATGGACATAAAACAGCCACACTTTACAAACATGCATCATTTTATTTCTGAAGTGCTGGCTTAGCGGTACCTAGAATGGCGCGAACCCCGCCGCACCACAAACATATTGAATGTGGCTGGTTTTTTTTTTTGAAGAAAAATCTATATATTTGATGATCTCCCATACTAAAATGCTTTCAAATTTTATTGATATATAAAGAATTATTTGTAATATTCTATATGTATGTACGACTAGAGTATAAATCAACAGGCTGCTATTAAAACATACCCTAAAATACAAGCAGTTTAACGGTCTCTAAGAGGGAGGGGGGATGTAGGATATATCCGCACCGTGCTGTTAATGTTAAAGATTGTTTTATATCCGTGTCTGCAGAGGGTGGTAGTCATGAAAGGTGGATTTAAACCGTTTTAATTCGCCTGTATTATTTAGTGATGTCTATACTTTTTCTGTTTTCTCTTTTACAATTCACATGGATTTGAGAAACAATACCAAATTTTGCAATCCAATATTTGCATTCCATTTATAGGCAACATGGCAGCTATGAACAACATTTTTTAACTTCGTTTAAAATTTATTTGGGTGGAAAAGCCTCATAACCCTTTGTTCTGTTCACCCAAGACTTATAACAGGGAAATGCTACATTTTAAGGACTACTCCCCTCCCTGATTCATTTGATCTATTTAGAGGTTTTACAACCTATTCTGGAGCAAATAATGGTTTAAAAATGACGAACGTACCCTAAAATGAAATGTTAAATAGTTAGCATGTCATTTAGAACTACCGTTTAGAAGCCTTGATATATATTTGTCAGTGGAGTATTCAATCGTACAATGTACTAAGAGATGAAACATGGAGTTTAAGATGCATGGAATTTTTTTCACGTATGTAAAATTCAAACTTGCGGTTTCCATACTAGTGAAACAGGACGATAATGTTACTTCCTGGAGGTATAAATAGCGCAATGATAACCCTAGAACAGAGAAAAGATGGAGGTTCCCAGTGGAATATCTCCCATGATGTTTAAAATCTGGTTCCATTTAGGTAAGTTAATAAAACACTTTCCCTGATGGAACCCAGATTCTATTCCATTAGAACCCATAAGCTTATTCACCAAACTCCAAATTGCATCAAATTCAAACCTGAAATTGCCAGATTTTGGGTAAAACAGCCGAGCTGTGAATACAACAGAATTGGAACTTTTTTCCAGAATTCTATTTCTGCCTCAGTCTAACTGGCGACCATTTAGAATTTAGTGAATTCACTTGTAAACCGTGGGGAATACAAATGTGAATTTCTGTATTTAGGTCAAAGTAGGTAACCTGGAAACATTGGCCAATTATCCTGTATTTGTGGTTTGGCTTAAATGTTTCACTGCAGTTTACTTGGGTTAATTCACCAAAATTTGTAGTAAATTAAAAAACAGAGTTGTATAATTCAGAGTAAAATAGCAGTGAAATCACCCATATTTGCAACATGCTATATAGTGAATAAACCACTGCTGAGTAAATCATTTTATTTGATAGGTACAAACACCCTTTTTTAAACCATTAAACTCAAACAGATATTAAAATCTCTACAGGGTCAAAATGATGTTCTACTCCCCACATACTTTTGTTGCAGACAAATTCACTAAATGGGGAATCCCCAATCATGGCTTTAAATGGGACACTACAAATTCCCAAAACACTTTAGCTTGCTGGATTGTTATGTGTGCAGAGTGTGTCCTCTTTAAAAACAAAACAAAAAAAAAACCTGCAGATTTCACGATAATTTAACCTCCTTGCTGTTAGATAACCACTTCTGTAAGCTGCCTGGTTGTATAGCTCAGGGCAATTGCACAGAGCACCTGTATTGCAAAGACTTCTCGTCATGCACTGTGAAGTCTGTGATTGGACAGCCACAAAAGTTGTGGGCGGTGTTAGAATGGGACGGCTTGCAGAGGAGAACTGCAGGTTATGTTAGCGGCTTTTAGATGTACCCCCCGCCCCCAAAAATGCATAATTTAATACATGCATGTTTTATTAACTATATCTACTAAACAGTGATTTTTATTTTCATTTGGACAGTCCCTTTAACATCTTTGCTTATTATAATAATTCTTTAGGGTACAGTTCTGCTGAAAACACACAAACATTTTGATGTGCCAAACGTAACTTACAAAAAGCAAATAAAACCAGGAAGAAAGGGGCGGGAGGGGTGTCTAATGTGAAAGAACACCCCATTTATAAAAAAAAAAAAAAAAGACATCCTGAATTAGTGTGAATGATCCGTTATTCAAATTTTAGGCTAAAAACAGCAGAATTTGAAAAATGATCCAACTTGCACCTCGAGCTAACTTTTTTTTGGGATAAAATTATTTATCGATCAGAATGCCCATAGGCTTTAATAGTGATTTCTGTAGATAAATCATTTGGAAAGTTTTTGAAATTGAATAATTTCTGATGCAGATTCAAACAAATTAAAATCTATGCCAGACTGATCATTTGAGAAAAAATATATATTAAACCGAGGCCTTCATTATTTTTACAGGTTGGCTGTTTTAACCTAAATTGTGAAATTCCCTTTAAATTCACACTTTAGCGAACAACCCTGTAAATGGGTTTTCTGTAAAAAAAAAAAAAAGAGAAGTTATTGAGTGTTTGTAACCTCATGTAAGAGAAACGTTACAGAAACAATATTTATTCTTGCTTAAAACAATGTCTTGGCGGTTAACAAGACATAAATAAATACGAATTTGAAAAAATGTGAACGTGCAGTACATGCCTCAAAAGTGCCAAATAGCTGGAGGTAAACAAAACACAGATGCAACCTCAAAACCACATGTACAATAATCGAAACAATCTGTGGAAATATTTATTTTCTATAAATATTATTAAGTGATGGGGTGTAAAACTCGTTATTTTTATTACCTGTTGATTTTGCAGCGGGAGGGGTGGATGGGACAAACAGTTGCTTAAATAAAAACATGAATGAAGTAAAAAAAGAAAAAAAAAATCAACATGCTGTTCAAAAGAAAATGTGGCGTTTTATTCTTTGTTTATTTGTGTAGCAAAAATATTACAAAATAGTAACAAGCTGTAAAAATAAAATTCTTTTTAAACAATGATTTTCTTTAATTAATGACTTTTTAAACATATAAAACTCTACAGTTAACAAAGATTTCTCCTTTTGCATTTTAGTTTATAACCCAGAGTTACATTTTGTTCAATGTTTCCATGTAGAATTACTTACTGTTCAGTTACGGTTCCTTTAAAAGAACACATAGCGTTAGGAATGCTGACATGGATTAATATGCTAACATGTATTCCTAACGCTATAGTGATAGCCTACCCTTCAACCCCCACACCTGAATTAACTGAAAAGGTATTTTTACTCACTCACTGCACTGGTCTCTCCGTGGCCGTCAGACCTCCAAGTGGACATCTTCAATCTGGATTATCTTGGCCAATTCAATGTTTCCTCATAGGGAAGCATTGGGAGGCTAGTGCCTATGGGCAGCACATTGCCACACTGCGCCAATCAGCATCTCCTCATATAGATGCATTGAGTCAATACGTTTCTATTGTAAGCATTTAGGGTCTCCATGCACAGATGCTGAATTTTAGTCCTGCAACCTTTGCAGGACCAAACACAAGAAGTCCCTCTAGTAGCTGTCGAAGTGACACCCACGAGAGGTGGCCTTACACACCTGACTGTACAGGAATAGGTTTTATCCCCAGAACCATTACTTTAAGCTCTAGTGGTTCTGGTGAAGACAGACTGTAATGAAATGAAATTTAAAGGACCCCACAAGAATCTGCTGCACCTTTTCCCATAAAAAGGAAAATCTCCTCAAAATATAAAAATTTACAAGCCCCCCCCCCCCCCCCCCCCACTGAAAGTTAACAGTGTATTCTAATAAGCCGGTACCAGTGTATTATAATAAGCCGGTACCAGTGTATGAGAATAAGTCGGTAACAGTGTATAAGCCGGTAACCGTGTATTATAATAAGCCGGTAACAGTGTATTATAATAAGCCGGTACCAGTGTATGATAATAAGCCGGTAACAGTGTATTATAATAAGCTGGTAACAGTGTATTATAATAAGCCGGTAACAGTGTATTGCCTTATTGCATAAGATCGCTCATCTACCTCGCTAAAGAAGAGCAGGTGGAAAAGTGACCATTCACTCCACTTTTCGAGGTGCTTCCTCATCTTTCAGTTACTCAGACTGTACTCTTTGTTTCCCCCTAGTGTGTAATAGCAGTGTTTGAAAAGGGCCATCCTGTCAAACTACTCCCACATTTTGTTCAAAGCGAATTCTGCTGAGTGGTTTGGTTTCCTCTTAAGGCAATGGTGCATCCAATATAGCGATGACTTGCTCAGTAAACTCAGAACATGAAAAGCCATGGCTCCTCCACATTCTTGCCATTTACTTGGTTTTCAGTTTCTTAGACGGTCTTTCATGATTTTCAGCATTTTCCAAGGACTCCAAGACATCTGGACATAGTTTCTGGGCCACTTTCCACACCCAGAGGCATAGCTCCACCCGGTGGGGGGTCCATGTCTCGCCGGAAGCTGTGATAGAGAAGGAAGGGAGAGAAGGGACATGTGATTCCTCAATTATTTGCACACTAAGGCTAGGGAGAACATTCTTAAACCCAATTAATGAGAAGCCCCCCAAGGACTTTCATCCAAAGCAGGACTAGCTTGCCAGGGGTATACCTAGAGCATTTGGCACCCGGGGCGGATCCTGTGTTTTGCACCCCCTCGCCACCACCCCCCCCTCCCCCTCCAAAAAAAAAAAAACCTGTAAAAAAAATTTAAAGTTTTCTTTTTTTACAATTTGTAAACTTTGCAAAACCCCTGTCCTGCCCACTTCTACAAATCCTGTACTGCCCCCATCTACAAAACCCGTGCAATCCCCTTCCACAAATCCCCTGCTTATCCCCATTTATAAAGACTCCTGTCCCAATAAAAAAAACAAAAAAAAACCCTGCCCCCTTTTACAAAATCCCTGCAGACCCACACACACATTTATAGGCAGACAGTCACACACACAGTTACAGGCAGACCGTCACACGCACTGTTACAGGCAGACAGTCACACGCACTGTTACAGGCAGACAGTCACACGCACTGTTACAGGCAGACAGTCACATATACATTGACACACACACACACAGCAGCAGCAGACAGTCACATGCACACAGTCACTGACAGATAAGCACACACACGTTTACAGGCAACATCAAACAGTCACAGGCAGACAGTCACACATACATAGTCACATGCAGTCACAAACACAGTTACACACACACTCACTCACACACACACAGTCAGGCAGAGAGTTGCACACACACTTACAGGCAGACACACACACAATTACAGACACAGTCACATGTAGACAGTCACACATACAGTCACAGACAGTCAAGCACATAGTCACAGACAGATAGTCACACACACGGTTACAGGCAACATCAAACAGTCACAGGCAGACAGTCACATGCAGTCACAAACACAGTTATAGGCAGACAGTTACACACACACAGTCAGTTACAGGTAGTCAAACACAGTCATAGCCAGACAGTCACGCACACAGTTCCAGACAGACCGTCACATATACAGTCACTCACACACACAGTCACAGGCAGAGAGTTGCATGCACATGCACACACACACACACACACTTACAGGCAGACACATACCCACAAAGTTACAGGCAGACAGTCTCACACACACATACACAGTTACAGATAGTTTTACACACACACACACACACACACACACACAGTCACAGTCACACTATTACTTACAGACAATGGGCTGGAGGAGGACTGGATTCCCTGAAGCCTGTGGAGAGGCAGGGATTCCATCTTACTGACAGCAGTAACGGGTAAGGGCCATATCAAGCCCCGCCCCCGATTTTTAATTAGCTCCGCCCCCAATTTACCTCCGTGCGGCCAGTTCAGCTGCTCTTTGCGTGTGAGCTGTTCTGGCCGCCCGGCACCCTAACTGCCATGGGGGGGTACTGTGCTGCCATAGCTCACACAGCCCCCTCCAGCCCCCACACCAGGGTTATGGCACCCCCCACCCTGGTGGCACCTGGGGCGGACCACCCCCTCCTTAGTAGGCCACTGAATGTTGCATTTTAATCAAATGAAAGGAAGAGAAGCAAAGTACCCTTTACAAATGGGGATACTGCAGTGAAAATATTCCACTTATTGATTCTTTCCTCACCTTTGCTCAACGTTGTGGCTTTTTGGCATAAAGCCTCTAGGAAGCGCAGATAATGTTTCAAGGTGTACTGTATGGGGACGAGACCAGGAATACTCTCTACAGCTTCATCTGCCATAAATGCGGTCAACTCCGGGGACCCAGCAGCCAGAATGGCTGAAAAGGGAAAAAAAACAAAAAAAAAACCCAGTATAACAGCTACTAATAATGACAAACTTAATTTATTTCTAGACAGTCATAGAGTGCCCTGTGTTCTATATATTAAGTAATGATACTAGATGTGATTTAAGAGCAGGATTTAGGACATTTCCCGCAATCTGATAATCTATGGGGGAAAACCGGGGGTGGGAAGGAAAGGATTTCTGAGTTCCATGGGTCAAAGAAGCAGAGATGATGCTTTAAAATCATGTGCAAAACAATACAATTCATAATAGTACACAAGTACCTACACAGTGCACTAAACATGTATGGAAGCCTGGCGGGTCACCAAACCTCATGTTCCAAAAGGATGCCGACTGAAAAGCCAGCCTTTTAAACTCTGGACAGAAGTATAGGGCATTGTGCTGGGTTTGTGTGTCTGTGGCCCAGTCTACACCCTTTGTTAAATTCAAGCCTCTACCTTGTATCTGGGCGCACTCACCTGAAGCAGTGGCAGGGCCAATGGCCTTCAGCTGGCAAAGCTCATTGACAGCACCAGACACATCAGGTAGAAGCTGAAACGCCTTGCGAGTACAGCTCTCCACAGTCTCTGCTGGGTTGGTAGACACCAGCTGCTGCAGACGAGGCCGGAACTTGCCCCTCTACTCAAACAAAACAAAACAAAACAGAGATTAAATCAGACCTTCCAGGTATTAAAGCAAAAACTTCTCTCTGGCTGCTGTCATTGCAAAAATCGTCACTCCCATAAGGCATGCACCAGGTTTAAATGAAAAGTGTATTGCAAATTTTAACCCCCCAAAAATTACAAAAACCTGCAATTCCTTCGTCTATTCTTCAAAACCTCTTAATAAATCCTTTGCTGCTTTGACAGTAAAGCAGAGATCTAAAGGAAGATAATAGTTCCCCTCATGGCACCGAGTATGTATCTATACTCCAACTAGAAAACGCAACACTATCTGCTTTTTCCACAGCTCCATTCACGTTTTTGTGAATATAATGACGTTTATATTTAACATCTTTTGCAGATTTCTAAAGCATTAACTTTAAAAACCCATTATCAATCATGTGGGTTAAATCCAGCCTGAACGGTCCCTTTACAGGGGAACAGTTACTCCCAGTATTTAATATATATATTTAATTAAACGTATGATTTTATTAAGATTTTACATCGATGGTACAGCTTGTAGTACATTTAATCATGCATTGTACATTATGAACATCTATCACACAATATAGCGAAAGACAACAGGAGAATGTTACAATGTATATATGTGCAAAACGGCCCTGTGCATAATTAGACCTTGTGCCGTGAACAATAAACGCGTGGACAGCGTTGGAGCCGCATGTACATGTGCGACATATGCATCGAGTGTGAAATATTACAACAAAAATGACTAATTCTAGATAAACATAGTGAAGGAACCATTGTCTCGCTGGGTCACGGTTGTTAAGCTCTCCTCCTCCCTCAACCTGTACTGCACGTTGGACAGCAAGGTGTGCGTTCCCCCCTTAGCCCCCAACTTCATTTAGGAGTTCCTACCACTTTTGTGGTTTTGACCCGTCTCTTTCCCTGCTGAGTAGAATTGGTGCACTTGGCGATATCCCTTCCCTCTGTGTGATGTTTAATGATATGCAGCTATATAGGCTTTCCAGAGCTG